TTCGTTCGTGTTCGAATCGTTATTGTTCGAAATATAAAATAATTTAAAATAATTATATATAAAAAAATTATGATATTTTAAAAATTAAATTTTAAAAATTATAATATATAATAAATTAATAATAATAATATATTAATATACTATATTAGTAATATACTAATATAGATATTGTATATTTATATAATATAAGTTATACAATTAATATAATATATTATTTATATATATTAATATTAGAAATGTCAAACTAGCTCGTCATTCGTATTCAGCTCGTTCGTTAAGAAACGAACACGAACAGTGACTTCAAGAACAATTTCGAACACGAGCTTATTTAAAACAAACAAAATTTCAAACGAACCGAACACAAACATAAGTTCTGTTTGTTTGTGTTCAATTTGTTTACACCCCTAATTATTAGCAATAGAAAAACACTTTTAACATTCATTTGAATTAGGTTTTTGCCCTTCAATAATAAAAATAGAGAATTATATAACCCATCTAAAACTTTAAAAATAATAGTTTGACTCCCTAAACTTAAAAAATTACATTTCAACAAACTAAAACTTTATTTACCTTTGAAATAGGTTCGAAAAGGTAGTTATTAATAGGGCTGTCAAAAAAGCTCGTTGTTCGTGAACAACTCGTTCTAGATATTATATATTTATATAATATAAGTTATACAATTAATATAATATATTATTTATATATATTAATATTAGAAATGTCAAACTAATTTGTCGTTCGTATTCAGCTCGTTCGTTAAGAAACGAACACGAACAGTGACTTCACGAACAATTTCAAACACAAGCTTATTTTAAACAAATAAAATTTCAAACGAACCAAACACGAACAAAAGTTCTGTTCGTTTGTGTTCAGTTTGTTTACACCCCTACTTATTGGCAATAGAAAAACACTTTTTTAACATTCATTTGAATTAGGGTTTTGCCCTTCAATAATAAAAATAGAGAATTATATAACCCATCTAAAACTTTAAAAATAATAGTTTTGACTATCTAAACTTAAAAATTACATTTCAACAAACTAAAAGTTTATTTTCCTTTGAAATAGGACTTCCACTTCATTATATTAAAAGAATTGGGTGATTGATAGTTGAAATGTAAAATTTTAAAATTTAGGCGGTTAATTCATTATATTTAAAGTTTTGGATGCTTGGTATGTTAAAACTCATAAAAGTAATAACCATATAAGCAAAGTTCTATAGAAGCACAATTAAACTTTAATACATACATGCATACATACATATACTTATGTGCAGTCTACTCACCCAAGTAGGGAGTTTTATCATCATTCACAAGTTTATAAGCTTGACATATAATATGATGAAAATGTTCGGCACAAGTTCTCCTCAAGCGTCCCCTAGAACAATTTTTCACCAATCACCCAATCTCATGTTGAACCGGAATTTCCGCCCACCTCATCACACCCCTTCTATCCAACCAACGTTCCTGCATGTCCACTCCAACACCCCTCAACTCCATCGCACACACGAGAAAATATTACATAATTTAACAGTATGTGCGGACAATGATAAATGAGATGGTCAGTAAACATAATTTCAGTAGATGTATGTGATCTGCATATCCATTATTGTGTGAACATGCTTAAAAAGTATGTAACATTTTCTACGCACAAATTTTTATGTGCGCTCACGCGTGTGCATACAAAAATTAATGCTAATAGATGACAAAAAAAATTATAGAACCATCAATATTACATAATTTGTAAGTATGCGCAAACAATGATAAATGAGATGGTCAGTAAACATAATTTCACTTAGATGTATGTGATCTTCCCATCCATTATTGTGTGCACATGCTTGAAACATATGTAACATTTTCTTCGCACAAATATTTACGTGCGCGCGCGTGTGAATACAAAAATTAACTGTGCCAGTGCATATATTGCACTTAAATTTTAATATTTATCTACCTAACATCAAAATTCTCAAAGCACATAAAAATGCCATTAATATTCACGAGTGAAGCAACAATTTAAGCACATGTTTTGATGCAAATTTTAGTTTAAATAGAATTTAGTAAATCGAGTAAATCCTGATTCATCAAATCTCGAGGTGATTAAGGGCGCATTTAGAGCAGCTTGTGCTTATCTAGATAAACCGCTTATCTTAAAAAGCAGACCCCGAGGTTCAACCCACGTTCCGTGTTTAATGTAAAAAACTAATTGTGTTTTCGGATAAGCTGCTCAAACGCAGTTTCAAAACGGTAACGCAACATTTTCAAAACATCGTCGCAACGAATAAATTTAACAAACAGAGCCTAAATCCTGAAATCTGCTTGATATGTTAGTAAATCTTGATAAATACTGAGAAACTATCAGACAATTTTAGATGAATTTAGTCAAATAAAAACCTTTGTAATGAATATCATATAATGTGATTTGAATTTTACATTTATACCACTCATATCGTTCTCATCATATAAGAATACCACATCTACTAACTTTTTAAAAAGCAAAACCCATTCATGTCAAAATTAAAGTTTTGGTGTTTGATGCATAAATACATATGAAATGTGTGGTTTATATGGAACTCTTAAAAAAAAATATTTACACGACTTACCTTAAGCTCGAAACATTGATCTCTCTCGCAACATTCCCGTCCCCCAAATTCTCAAAATTGGGATGGTAAGTCCTTGGAGATCCATTTAATGAAACCAATGTCGTGTGTTGACGAGGACGAGCCCACGACTTTCAATTTTAAGTTGAATAGGTCCGATGCATTGACTTATAGGCTGCATTTGGGACAACTTTCCGGCCAGATTTTTAAACCACATCCCTTGGTCAAGCATTTGTATTGCAATATGTGTATTTCAATTTAAAACCGCGACCTTGAACTTTTGAATAATCACAACCGCACTTGGCGGACCGCGTTCTCCGTTCAAGTTAGGATTGGCACGTGTAAATTATTATGGGTGGGCCTCTTAAAATATTCATGTAATTTATTATTCTTACATATGTAATTAATATAATACATGTAAATCCTATACAAGATTAGGATCCGTTTGGGGCAGCTTATTTAGTGTGGCAGTGTTTTAAAAACGCACCTGACATATTTGGGTAAACTGTGTTTTGATAGCTCATGCATTTTCAAAACGCTAAAAATAACGTTTTCACACCACACCTATCTAGGTGCGGTGACAGCTTTTTGGCTGCGGTCTGACTTTTCCATAAAAATAAAAATTTGTAATAACTACCCAACATAACTTATCAGCAGATTATTTTTAATCAGCTTATCAACAGATTATTCAATAAACTACAGCTGCCCCAAACAGACCCTATTTCATACACAATTATCATTTTTAATTAATTAAGCATGTAAAATGTTATTACTATATAATTAATTAATACATTAAATGTCACTTTATGATAAATTAATTTACATAAAATATTGTTATAAAATTAATTAGTTAATATAGTATTCATATGAAAGGCTTTAAGCAGGGATATGTAACTTATTATTAATTAACAAATTTTGGGTTATATGTAATTAATTGTCATTATTAAAATAATTTATTAATTGTAAGTATTATAATAATTATTTAAAAGAAAGAGCTTCACATGCAACTCCCCCACGTCATGTAAGCGCACCCGAGCCGCTAATTGCATCACTTTTAAAACTGAATTTTTAAAACAAAACAATTATTTCTAGAACACCAGCTTTTAAACAACAAATTTTTCACATCTTCTTAATTGAGATTTCATACAGCCACAACTGAAACAAATGCAACCTTATTAGACGAGGAATTCAACATAAAATGGGTGAAAAATGAGATTTAAGATTTATTTCTAATAATTCAAATAAAAATTTTATATAATATATTAATGATTTGAACTGTCACAAAGACTCGTTCGTGAACAGCTCATGTTCGGCTCGTTAAGAAGCTCCTGTTGGATTCGTTCACTAAGTTAATGAGTTGAACACGAATATTTTTTTGGGCTCGATATATAAACGAGCCGAACACGAGAATATGGGTTGTGTTCGGCTCGTTTTAGCTCGAAATACTATGTATGTATGTATGTATATGTGTGTGCGTGTGTGTGTGTGTATATATATATATATATATATATGGCAGGATTTTTTTTAATTTAATTGACTACCAGGCTACAAAGATTTATAATGAATTAAAATTATTAATTACAAAATAGAAAAAAACATATATTAAATTATATTTAAGTTTTAATATAAACAATAGGATTAATTTTTTTCCAACTCTTAACATCCTACATCTGCGTGATTAGAGTTGTCAAAACGACTCTTTGTTCGTGAACAACACATGTTTGACTTGCTAAGCAGAGTCAAACACGAACACAGTTTTTATGTTCGAAATATAAAGGAGCTGAACACGAACATTGATGTTTTTTCAACAAGCTGAGCATAAGTTGAGCCTAGGCTCGCTCGGCTCATTTTGCACCACAAACACACTTTTTATGTTCAAAATATAAACGAGTTGAACACAAACAGTGATATTTTTTTTTACAAGCCGAGCATAAGTTGAGCCCAGGCTCGCTCAGCTCATTTTGCACCCTTATTAATGATGCATTTATTAAGACTAATTTAAATTTATATGATTTCTAATGGCCAACTAGTTGATAAAAAAGTGTAGAACTAATTAATCATTAATTAATATTTAAATTTCTAAATAGTTAGTTACTATGCCAATTCAAAATTAACTATAACTTCATTAAACTAATTAAATATTAATTAAAACTTAAATTGTTATTAGTTAATTATGAATTAATTATTTATAAAGTTCATATCAAATGCAATTAATTAAATATAACTTTTTTTTGCATAAGATAGTATCATTGTATAGTGATTAAACATAAATTTGCATTAATTAAATTAATTAAAATTAAACCAGATTCAAGAAAACTTCATTTTAATAATATTCTTATAGAAAATTGCAAAACACCCCGCTGCATTCGCCTTTTGCCTCTCCCACTGTTGCCCGAACACAAATCGGCTGGAGTTAGCTAGGAAGGCAACAATGAGTCAGCAGTTGAGTCGGCAACACATCGAGTAAACTTTCTAGATTGTGACACATGTTTGCAACTTATACCCTTATAATTTAGCTCCGTCATATTTGTATTTTTTTTATTTTTTTTAAGAATGTTTAGATGTTACCTCTAGTACTGAAATTTTCCTAGAATTGAAAAGACAAAATGGAAGTCAGAATATAGATGTTACCTCTAGTTTGTCTTCCTTTGCCCTGTGATATTGGGGAAGCAATCTGAAGTCCCCAGTCAAGCGTATGCATTCGCTTACATTCTCAGGAGAGACAAAATCAAGGGCAACTTTCGTGCAAGACTGCAGTAAATGAATTTAGTAACAAACATGCATGCAGAAACAACTATTAAGTGCCAAAGTTGGATCTTCGGAATCTGAATATTGAATCAAAATCACATACCTTAAGGTTGCGCACTTGATGTGGACAGCCTGCAGGGATGAATACTGCTTCTCCTAGCCCTTGAACAAATGTCCATGGCTCTATCCCTGCAGAAGCACATGGGCCACTAAGAGTTTCCAAGTGTTCCATAAAAGAAAAATAAAGCAAAACAAAACAGATTTATAACTAACCAAATTCGTCCTTGAGCTTCCTTTTGTGTTCCGAGGTTAGATAGAACACCTCATCATGGACTGGATTAAATACCTAAAATACACAATTTGGTTTATTAGAGAGATATAATCTACCTTGATAATCCAATTTCAATATGAAGGAAATAGGCAAACCAACCTGTTCAAGTGGTGAACAATAAGTATGGCGGAATTCCTTGGAATGCTTTCTAAGATATGCTTTCAGCGGTTCTACATCTTCTTTCCGAAATATGTCCCATAGAGCACCTCCATCTTGAATTTTATTCTGCTGATCATTTTCATTCCCGAGGTCCGAAAACTCATCCACATATGTTTCCTCCATCCTGCTACAAGTCTCTTCTCCATGAAAGCTACTACATTTCTCTCTTTCATCTTGATCTCTGTGCAACTTCTTCAACTTCTCTATTGCATACTTCTGCTCTTCAGTAGGCAAGACCTCTGCAACATGCATTAAAACATTTACCTGTACCAAAAAGCTGTAATTAGATAGACGTTATACTGACACTTCAACAGTAAAATACAACATTCAACCTGCAAACAAAAATAAATAAGCTGACTTGAATGTCATTTTTTTTTGTTAACTCCCCATTTAAAATGTCCATGAGATGGGTGTATACGACCATTTTCTTTTTTATATTTTATAATGCAAGCGATTCTTCATCCATGACCAGGTTTCTTGTTAAAGTTGATGTAGTGAGCTAAATATTACACACTAACTAACAGGAAAACATCAACGTGTCTGACATCCTCCAATTAAATATAACGTTAGCTTGTAACTCATGTTTGATTTTTTTTTTTTTTTACGTTAGCTTGTAACTCATGTTTGATTTTTTTTTTTAAACTTTTTGGAGCATTATCATATATAATAAATCTAATGCCCAGAAAAGCATGCGCAAAGATTATATAAGATGAAAGGAAACCGTCAAGCTCTTCCAAGGAAAAACACAACAGCTCAATAATAAAAAAGTACTGCATCCCTTATAACATTTCATGAAAATAGAAGAGAGAAAAACATAGTGTTAATGAATCGATGAATAATCAAACCTCATGAATCTGAATTTAAAGTTCGTATGAATACAAAAAGAAAAAAGAAAGCCCCAAGAAAAGGAAAGAAGAAGCGTTTCGAATAAGTAATAAGTTTTCTACCTTTCCAAAACGATTCCTAATATCATACAGTACCATAAGGTTTTTCTTATGCCAAAAAGCCAAAACTTAATTCTTGTTTAATAACCTATCTTAAGGACATCTTATCCTACAGTCCCCTCAATAATATATCAAACAAACGTAAACTGCAACAGCAGTTCTTTCTTCCTCTGATCAATTAGTGAATACACCATTAATATGATAACTTATTTAGCAGTATTAGGGACAATAAAAATTAATTGATTTCACATGGATCCTAAAACATTTGCTGGGGTCACTTTATAGACATCTATTGTCAGACTAAAAAAAGTTGTTCAATCAAATAATTTCTCAAAACTTACCCAACTCATCCATAGTGGGATGAATCTTGCTTCCCAAAAATGAGACAAGTAATTTTTAAGCACAAGAGTTAAATATAATATATAGAACATATAATGAACCAGAAGAATAATGCCCATCACTTCTACTTCAAATCTTTGTTTTATCACATTCAAATATTGAAATAACAATCATTGTTAACAAAACCATGCTTGTAGAGTAAAAAGAAATTACATATTGTAAGACTCACTGAGCATATGATTGCAAATATTAATTCATGAAAGAAAAATATAAATTTCAAGTCTTAAAATTTATATAAAGTGGAGATGTATTTAGATTCTGCATTAAAAGAAAGGAAGGCATTTCCATAGCAGAAAAAGAAAGAAAATGCAGTCCAATCAGTGAATCGCGTTATTTCTTCATTTTTTTCTCTATTTTTTTTTTCTGGCTTCAAAGCACGACGACTTTGCAAAATCGTGTTTCAATTCTACTATTATCTATTGAACTTAATATCATGAAGCTGCATGACATGAATTTATGCTATAGATTATATTTCCATTGACTAACTTTGATATCATTAGGTCCGTTTCATCGAGTTGGTCAGTTTGACTATAAGTTTGCTGAAATCGGAGCTCTGGATGACTTTTTATCAAGATTTTAATATTTCTTGCACAAAATATTGCCTCGAGATTTGTGCCGGATGATGAAAATTTGTTGGTGGTGTATCAAGCTCAATGATAAAAAAGTAAAGCATCCTTAATAACGTTTCAATGAAAACAGAAAAGAGAAGAAACAAAGGGTTAATAAAATCAATGAAGATCAAAACTCATGAATCTGAATTTAAAGTTTGAATGAATACAGTAAAAAAAAAAAAAACTCCAAGAAAAGGAAAAAAGAAATACCGTTCCGAATATGCCTCAAGTATTAAAAATGTGAAGCTAATCCTAACTAATAATTTTTCCACCTTCCCAAAACGATTTATAACATAATACAGTCCCATAAGGTTTTTCTTATGCCAAAAAGCTAAAACTGAATCCTTGTTTCATAAACTATCTTCAGAACATCTTCTCCAATAGTCCCTTAATAATATATCGAACTAACGTAAACAGCAACAACAGATCTTCTTCCTCTGATCAATTAATGAATATACCATTAATATGATAGGTTTTTTAGCAGTATTAGGGACGATAAAACTCAATTGATTTCACATGGATCCAAAAACATTTGCTGGGTTCATTTTATAGACATCTACTATCAGACTAAACAAGTTGTTCAATCAAATAATTTGTCAAAACTTACCCAACGCTCCCATGGTGGGATAAATCTTGCTTCGAAGATGGAACATGCAAATTTTAAGCACAAGAGTTATCTATAATGTATAGAATATATAGTGAACCAGAAGAACAATGCCCATCACTTTACTTCAAATCTTTGTTTATCACATTCAAATATTCAGATGACAACCATTGCTGACAAAGCAATGCTTGTAGAGTAGAAAGAAGATTACATATTGTAAGACTTACCGTGCATACAATTGCAAATATTAATTCATGAAAGAAAAATATACATTACATGTCTTGAAATTTATATAAAGTGGAGATGCATTTAAATTCTGCATTGAAAGAAAAGAAGACATTTTCATAGCAGATAAAGAAGCAACATGCAGCCCAATCAGTGAATCACATTTATTTCTTCATTTTTTTCTCCTTTTCTTTTTCCGGCTTCACAGCACAACGATTTGGCAGAATCGTGTTTTAATGCTACTATGATATTTTGAACTTAATATCATGAAGCTTCATTATATGAATATATGCTATTGATTCTATTCCCATCAACCATATCGTTTAAAAGCCTTAAGCGTGCTAACAGCTAAGGGTTTTCCCTATATTTCATTCCAAGCTTTCCTAATAAAACCAACACTCTTCAATCATGTGGGCTTGCATATACAGAATGTACTCTAAGATCAGGTAACTTTATATGCTGAGTGATAAATGAAGAAAAAAAAGAGAACATTCTCAACAATATCCATAATACTGATGGGCAGGAAAAGTGTTGTAAAAATAGGTCCGAGCAAATATCATAGAAAAGAAGTTTCCACTTGACTAAAAAATTAGTTATACTCTATAAGAAGTGTATCTGACTAGCATAATGGAAGCAATACAACAGAGACTTGAATTTAAAAAATTCAACATAATTGATAAGCATTAGAATTAGCCATCATTAAAGAAAAATTAAGTAAATATTAATGACATAATAAAAAGCTCACGTACTGCATCTGAAACATCGCAATGAATCTTGGTAACTGAATCTCCTCTGCCAAGTTCTTCTCTCATTCCATACGCAATATATGATTTCGGCCCCATGTCCAGCTTTAACATTTCATTGGGAAGAGCTGTAGAAATGTTTAAAGGACCCGTTCGGGGATTTGTGTACTCCTGAAATGGTAGTGAATTGATAAATTCATTCCCATGGCATGGTAAACAATCTTCAAAATGCGTTGATGTAGGCCAATCCTTCAGTTTTAGCATTTCTGGCCAGGAATTGGCATACATTCGTCCTTCAAAGTAGCCCTCAAAAAAGTCATCACTCGCTATCTCAACCTAAAGTAAGAAGATCACTTTGGTCAAGGTATCGTTATCATCATTACAAGTCTATTCAAAAGAGTAAAGTAACAATAAATGAGAAAGTGGATTGCAAAGCTTTAGATCTGTGTAGGAGATAAATAGCATAAATAAAAAACATAGAACAAAATATATACATATATATATATATATATATAATGTGTAGGTGAGTATATATATATATATATATATAAGGGACTTGCCTTGCAAAGGGCCAGGCAGTCGATAGTCTGAAGTTGAAATGATTCTGAACTAATCTTGCTTCTGCATAAATTTTTCCACATAGCCTTTGGCTCCCAGCTTAAATGTGATTTCTCATCAAGAACGCCACGCACAATCACTGGCTCACTCTTAGCCCAATGTTTTTGGAAATGCTTGAGTTCAATCAGATCAATACAGCTAGAATTTGGACAATATAAAAAGTTGTCTGCTGAATCTTTCCTGGAAGCTGCTTTTCTAGAACTTTTGCTTGTATTAGAACAACTACAGCTTGCATTTCTAGTTGTAATAGAATCTTGTAGGAATCCAAAACTTACTATAAGGGTTTCAGCCTTGTCTTCCAGTTTTGAGATCCAATCTTCAGCAAGCATGCATTTTAATTTTAGGACAGCACTGCCACACCCTCCAATTTCCTTCGGTGGACAACAAATTTTCCCATTTTGATCAGCCTTCCACTTAGCAAATTCATTACGGTAATGCATTGACATATCTCCATTCTCATGTTCTGCTGCAAACATCTGGGCAGAATTTCCACCATGCAAATATTCCGTTCCTCTATTTACAGGAGGCAGTAATTCCTCTGTACAAGAAAGATTGTTCTCGCGTATTTCTTTGCAACAAGTTATGCATAGATCAAATTCACAACTAGGGCAGCTTCGGTGAAGATCGACAATAGATGTTTTGCAGTAGTTGCTGCACCAAAAAAAACAAAAAAATAGAATTAAAAGAGCTTAATGAGACGAACAGCTTGACGAAGAATTTTTCGTACCAATATACTCTCTCATCTTTTTCACAAGTGGATTTCTGAATCCTCAACTCAGATAACGGCAAACCTGTTAATGATAAGCATAATTTATTATGAATAATCTTAGCGAAATTATTTAAGCATAATCATATTCTATCAAAAATCAGAACAAAGAACCTTGAATGTTTGACTCAATTTTCTTTTCAATGTCTTGCTCCTGATTCAATTGTTTTAAAGAAGGCAGCAGAAGATTAAGCACACGAACGTTGTTTTCAACTTTATGAAGTCTATCAAAATCTCTGCTAGGAGTCTAAAAATCACACAGAAATAAGAAGAATGTCAATCTTTGAAAAGCCTTATTACTTGGTAGTATTAATACAATGAGAATATGGGCAAAATCATATTTCTAGATCATAACAAATGTACAAGTGATCAGCATGCCAACAACCCCACATTTTTGGTGAATACATTCAAGTTCAGTGAAACCATAGAATGAGCTTGATGAAAAAATAAAACTACTTAAATCAATTCATTTGAATACACAAAATGTAAAATTCATGTCCAATCTTCAAAAACCGTAGTAAAAAAAAAGCAAAAAAAGTAACATCTAACTTAATTTGCAGGATGATTTTGTGACAGAGGCATTTGGATCGCAGAGAACCTCATTTACATTTGCATTCCCCAAAAAAGAAATTTGAGATACATTGAAGAACGCTAGCCCACTTAAATGCTTTGATAAGAATTAGTCAGGTGATATCATTTATGCTAAATTTATACATGTCTACGGAAACCTCCACAAAGAAATAAACAACAATAAATACATAAATTAGGTGCTTCTAAATCCAGATTTGATCAGTTATACAAGATAATTAAGATAATTATTCAGAAACTATGCCGTCTATTTATATACATAGACAACAAGATGTATGATGAGCACTTGGTATAATTTATTTTCCGAGTTCAATGGAGTCAAAAAGTACCATGGATGCCTTATGCGGCCTCTTACAAACTCCGCAGACATAAGTTTCATCGCATGATGGCAAAGCCTTCAAGCTCATCTCATCAGCCATCTTTCGGCACCTAGTTCCACAAGGCAAAGTTCGCAATGAAAATAAAAATCTAAAAATTAGGGCAAAAAAGACTTTCAAAGACAGAATTAAAAAAAAAGAAGAAGTAAACAAGATCAGTAAACAAATTAACAGATGTGTGAGGCGTACCTGCTTCCAGTTTTGTCCTGATTCTTGAGATAACTTGAGCCATTCGAAACCATATCCTCCTTCCCAATTGTTCTGCGCTTAATGCATATCGTCTTTGCAGAATTCTTACATTGAAGAACAAATGATGACCAATAGTATTAAATTGGTGAAAGGCCGGGCTCAACAAAATAACAGAAAATAAAATAAACATACCTTCTCGCATCTGTGGAGATTTCCCACGGAAGAAACGGAAGAAGATGTCGAGCAGGGAGACTCCACATTGCCGTCAATAAGGACTTTAGGATGCAAAGAAGGAATGGAGGATGAAGCCGGTATTTTCTTCCTCTTCCTACACGAATCGAATCCGCCACCTTTTTCCACCGTGGAACCCCTACTTCTTTTCCCCCGCCTCCCGCACCCACTCTTCTCCACATCTTCCTCTTCCCTTCCCTTGGTTTTACTCCTAATCGGCGGCCGCTGTTTACGTCTATCCTCCTCACAACTCCAATCAGCGTCGAGTTCTTCAATCTCCTGGAACGAATCTTTGAGTTCCATTGAATCCGGTGAGTTGGAAAGATAATACTGGAATTCGGAGTAATTGATCGAATGATCTACCGTCGCAAATCTTCTAGGACGTTTGGAATCGTCCTGCGTTTCCAACCCCTCCGCCGTCGGCACCATGGTCGCGTTGAGAGAACTGGAGGACTTCGATTAGGGATTTACCGGTTTACTGCGACCCTTCAGATCTTCATACAAGGAAGAAAATATTGGCTCCATAACGGTGCGATCCTTATTTTTAGAAATATTACCGTTGGATCTCTCCTGGACGTCTCAGATTTAATTTTATTCGCTGAAATAGTTCAGTATTGCGTTTAATAATAATATAAGAGATTTTCCATATTTAGATCTCATTAATGATTCAAATTATTATAGATTTTTTGCTTTTTTCTTATTGCTATTTCTTTTAATCCATTTTAAATACTCGATATTTTATAAGAGCATTATTCGTACAAATCAATAAATTTTCTATCATCTAATAAAAATCTCGAGGCAAGACACAGGCCTTGATGTAATTTTTTTTAGTAAGGATTATTCAAACTTTAATTAAAAATCATTTAAAACACAGTCGAAGGAGGGGAGGGGGGAGGCAGTGACTCATCTTCCACTGGCCTCTGTACTTCGGGTCTCGATCTGCCCTCTCTAGGAGTTTGATCTTGGACATGAGTTGCTCTAGGAGGTTGGAATGGCCTACAGGGGAGATACATGATGCACGGCGGCCCTCTCCCGCGGGACGATGTAGGCGACGACTGCACCCCTCTCCTTCTCAATCGGTTGGGGCGGGGGAGCCTCTTCTATAAGGGCCGACTCCTGAGACCCCGAAGTTTAGATTGGAGTTTCCTGGAAGAGGCTCCCCCGTGTTAATATCCCGACGACTGCACCCCTTTACAATATCCCTCACCCACTTCAACGTGTTAATAAAAAAAAAAAAGAAAAGAAAAGAAAAGAAAAGAAGGAAAAACGAAACAAAAATATTTTTTTCTATCAGCACCGGGCTTTCCTGAAGATTTCCTTAGCTAGACAAGGGAGTCATCCCTGCCAAAAGGTTTCTTCGCCTTGGGTCTCTTTTCTTCAAACTTCGTTGTTGCCGCTTCCATCCACTTCTTCTCTTTCTCGTTTGACTCCTCCTAGAGACTTTCGGTCATGCTCTCAGAGGTTCCGGGCCACAAGATGTCAACAACTGCACAGTCTGTAAATTGGTATACGGAAAGCTTGCTCCTCTCAATCATGTCGACGTAGATGTGAGTACTCTCCGGTGCCATTTTCGTCTTACCACCTCACTGTTAATTGGTCAGAAATAAACTCCCCAGCCACGACAATGTTTAATGATCATGAACTTTGACGACCATTCCTTCACCTTGTTCTCAAAGCCTAGACAAAAAATAATGTGTAACGTTCTCGGTCAATCTTAACGCCGAAGAAATAAGAGATGAACTAGATCGACCACAGAATTTCAACTCGCTGAAGGTAAACGATGAAGGTCATTATGATGGCGAAGGAGTTCCGTGTGACTTTTGTAGAAATAATGTCGTAGCTATTGAAGATGGACCTCATCCCGCTGTAGAACGACATCCTCAACCCATATTTGAATACCTAGGAGCCATGTTGTGATAAGAGGGAGAAAAAGAGAGTCACACGGAGGAAAGGAAAATGATAGCATGAGGAACCAAACTTCCAGTTCACCAACTATAATATAAAGTAGAAGTCAAAATATCGTTAAGGGTAATACAATATTTTCTTCATATCAAAGTGTGGGAAAAGTGTTAAATCAAATGTGCATATTGATGAACCAATAAATACATATAAAATCATGAATATATAAATATTGAAAAATAAAATAAAACATTCATGTATATATTAATTCACGAAATAAAATATTTTTACATTTGTTTCACCCGCTTACAATTGTTCATCCAGAAAGAAAAAAAAAACTTACCTCAACTAAGACAACCGCTTAAACATTGACTCTCCTCATATCCTAACCATATCCACTCTACTCATTTTAGCATTCAAATGGGAGATTGAAAGTTCCTCTTAAAAGTTGGTTAATTTAGCCTTATAAGACATCACCTCCTCTTGAAGAATAGCTTCACTAGCCCGGACCGTAGCTAACTCCTCTTCCAGTAGCCCTAACCATACGTCACGAAGGAGGTCGGCCTCCTTTGGAATCAAAGTCTGAGCAAAAATAGACAGTGTCGGAACATTGGTCGCTCTATTCGGGCCCGCTGATTCATCGCGAAATGACCCTCTATAGCGCATAAGAACCTCATTGAATCCAGAATCCACCGTGGCGCTGACTTCAGGGGCCCCATGCTCAACAAGGGGAGGAGTCTCGGTATCCTCGCCAAAGGATGGATCCATCATCCGGTCAAGGGCAGAAGTAGCGAAGGAGAATATTTTTCCTCCAATCTCCTTTCTTATTGGTGGAGGTTGAGAGGCACTAGCCATCGAAGGGCCAAGAGCAACTCCCTGTTCATCCGACGCTGGTACTTCCGAAGGTAAGTGATTAAAGGCAGGTTTTTGTCCCTCCCTCAAATTTGGAAAGGTTGGGCGGAAGAC